ATTGTGTCTCACATAGTAGACCAGATAGGAGATGACCATGGTGAACCATCCGAACATGGTCACCAGCATGGCCACATCCGTGGTCTTTTTGAGCACCACACACAGGTCCAGGTCTTTGGCCAGCAGGAAAGGCACACCTTGGGCTCCAGAATCTGATGGTTCAGAAGTCTGACAAATGATGCCAGTCAAAGACACAGGTTCAAGGTCTAGACGTGGAAGGGCTGTCTGCAGCCTGCAGTCACAGTGCCAGGGGTTTCCGGTGAGGTTTGATCTCGCTCGGACACTTTCGAAAGAATCAGGGTCCAATGTGGTGAGCTGGTTGGATGAGAGGTCCAGAAATTGCAGAGAAGCTGCCAAGCCTCTGAAGGCTCCTGGTTCAAGCAAGGTCAGTTCATTGTGGGAAAGATCGAGCTCGGTTAGGAGTGGAAGACCATGAAAGGCATTGGCTGGGATACTGGTAAGTAGATTGTAATCCAAGTAAAGGCGCCGCGTATCGTTGGGAATGTCCTGAGGGATCTGGGAAAGGTGCAGGTTGCTGCAGCGCATCGTCTTGCCGGCAAACGAGCCCTCGCTGTCTGAACAGTAGCACTGTTTGGAGCAGGAAGTTGCAGCATTGTGGAAGCAGAGCGTCATCAGCACCAAGCTGTGAAGTAGTAACCACATGACCACAGAGTGGCGAAGCAGCCAACCAGAAGGTAGCAGCATTGTGGAATGGGGAGCATAATCTCTTTAGAGTGCCAGCTGTGTTGAGAACATTCAGGGGGTGGCACCCAACGTCAGTGTCTCCAACAGCCGGCAAGCCTGGAAGATTCAAGATAGATTGATTAATGCCAAGTGAAACATTATCATACTTTATTTTGAGCCTCATCCACAAGATGGTTTTTTGGCTATTGAGTCAGAACACATTTGCAAACCAATTAAGCCAATTACCTCAACATAAACTAGAACTGGGAAAGTACTTCATGCATTTTCATTTCAATATTACAAATATTACTGGCGGAGTGAAGCCAAACCCCAGCTGCAGAATGATGTTTCAGGTCATACAGCTACAAAACAACTGTTCTAGCTACAATCAAAACCTATTATGAAAAAGAGTCACTAACAAGGAGCGAGCCAGTGTTTGGAAGAACAAATCTCTTTGTCAAGATTTGTTTGAAAAATGGACAAATGGACTCTGATTTTGGTCAAAACTTGATGAGCAGCAGAGCTTTACCGACAGGAATAAAATTTGTAGCCTTCCTGTGTTTTTATTATCAATGTTTATTATCCCATCTTTCTGAATCTCTGACAGAGTATCATCGGTAAAACAGCTACAAAACAGTTAAAAAAACTCTCATCAACTACTGATTCATAAGTAATAGAGATGCATTTTTAAAAACGTGCTTAAATGTAACTAAGATGACAACAAAAGAGTTTCAATTGAAACTGAAATGAAATAGAGTTGGCACAACAGCATGGGGTTTAAATGAATATAAGATCATTGATTCCTCACTAACTAACACATGACTGAACCGTTTGATGACTATGAGAAATACTGGAATAGTGGAGAATAAACCAAATGTGTTTTTTAACCAAATATGTGTTTCCTCATTATTCAAGTTATTCAAGTTTTTCATTTGTTCCTAGTCTAACATTTTCTAACGAGACTACTCACCCCAGATCTCTCTGCTTTTGAGGTTCTGGAACAGTAGAGATGCAACTTTTAGAAAAATCCTATTTGAAACCACTGTTGCTTGACAACCTGATAATTATCTAATTACCTCCAAATTACTTTTTTTAATCTTTTGCTGGAAATCTGCGTATCCTGCTTTGACAGCCTTTATCATTTACTCCCAATCATTTAAATCCCTGGTACCGGCCCATAGTAAACAAACACAAAACAATAGAGGACTCAGAAACCCCCACACCCCAGAAATGAAATGAATAAACTGACTGATGCCTTAACCTTTCAATTTTAATTTACTGATTGAACATGTTGTGTCGCTGTTCAAAGCAGAGAGACTTGTGTTTTTTCATTTCCCCGCTGGCTTTGTGCCATGTTTTTGCTACACCCGCTAAGCTAGGCTCACACAATTAAAAACCTTCAAAGGAAACCCACTCGTGCTGATAACGGGCAAAAATGGTGCATCCTCATAAGTGCTGGTGGATAGGAAAATTGCTATACCGGCCTGATTTATGTTTCTTTCCTAGGATTTAATGTATTCCAGGACTGAAAAAAGACAATTGTTTCTACCATAGAAGTAGACGCAATGGATTTTTAACTTTCATTTTAAAATAAAAAATTCTACATTCATCACAAAGCAGGAAAGCCCATTCATGGTCTTTGAACAGTTAAAGCTATCATGAAGTGAGAGGACAAACACAAAAAGCAGCTTTTACCAATGTCTCTATAAATAAATATGAGACAGAGTGGGTTTCAAACCTGGGAATAATAAAAAATAAATAAATCACAATCGCTGAGACAACGTTCAGGATCAACAAATTTTAGGACCACAGTTTCAGATTTGATTGACTTAAAGTTAAAATTAATTAAATTGAAAATCTTTGATGTGCTTATTACCAAAAAAGTCAGCTAGCAACATATAAGAGCTAAAATTAACTTTTTCAATAAGGATTATGAGAAGACAGCTACAGTTACAAAACAGCTGTTTTACCTACAATCAAAACCTATTTTGAAAAATGGTGGGTGAAAAGGAGCGAGCCAGTGTTTGGAAGAACAAATATGTTTTTCATGTTTTCATAAAAAAAATGGACAATTGGACAATGACATGTGATCAATCTGCTATGGACTGGCGACCAGTCCAGAGCACTCCCGCCTTTCACCTAATTTGAGCTAGATACCCCGTGACCCTGCAATGGATTAAACGGGTGTAACGGGTTATTTCTTTTTCATTAAAATCTTTGTACTCGTTTTATTTATTTTATTTTTCACATTTTCTATGTAACATATGAGAGTTCCGTGTTGAGACTTGTATTTTGAATTTTGGTTTTGGCGGCGCAGTGACGCCATTTTGGAGCGCTCGCGGGTTTTTCGCCAGTTCACTCTATGTTAGTCGGAGAGAGGATTATACTGCTGTATATGCCACATGAGAGATAAGCTACTATTTGTCATTCCACAGTCGGAGAGAGAGAGTTATGATGACCAGTCCATGTTGAGCAAGAATAAACCTTCGGTGAATGAGGATGCACATGTCTTGATTGAACTTCACACACACACAACGCAGAGGCCAGTAACAGCGGACGAAATCGGACCGGTTACACGGGCAGGAAAATGAATGAATGAATGCGATAAAAAAATTATCTGAATTTTAAAAGTTTATCAATGCTGTTTTTTTTTAATTAATGTTATGTGTTTCATTTTTACATGGGTAACTCAATTAACCAATAGCATTCGAAGCCAATTGCACTGTTTTTGTGGATTTATGTGAGCTGAGTGGAGTCAGATTCAGATGCACACTTAGACACACAACACTGTTTCTCTATTCCCCTTCCTCAACCGCACTATTATCATATACTCTCTATTATGTCACTCGCTGATCACTTTATCCATTATGAAATAAAGCATGAACTTACACTGAAGTTTTATTTAATCAATATTCAGGTGTGGCTGAAAGGCTGGCTGTTGAAGAAAAACCATTGCGTAAGGAAACTCACTGTAATACCAAAATGAACAAAGATCCACCAAAAAAGGCAGCCACCATAGCAACCACAAGTTACTTTCAAAAGATTACAATAATCACTTATTCTTCTTTTTAATTACTTGAACATATGCATTTTTTCACTTTCTTTGCCCTAATGTTTTCATATTATAAGAATATTTGATAAGGAAGTAATTCATATTCAAACCACTGTCCAATTAGATAAAAGAGCGGAAAATAATGAGTGGCAAGCTCCGCCCAGTTCCACAACCTGTGTTTTATCAGCCATTAAAATGTATTCATTCAAATCAACAATGTTTTCGCTTTATCCATATAGTTCTATTTCCAGAAACATCCGGTTTCTGACCCCTGATAAAAAGTGGATTGTATTTTGGGTTTCATATAAAGTCACATCAGCCAAATGGTGACACTCTTTTTCTGTGGTCATGAACTGAGAAACCTAAAGGGCTTTTCACAAATATGGAACTGAAGTTAAAGTTTCAAATGTTCAATAGTTTAGTTCCTATAATAATAATAATCGTTTTGATTCTGATTTGTTTAGGACTGCAAAACATTTAAGTAACAATGATGAAATGTATAATTTACTTTGCACAAAAAGAGAAAATTAGCTCAACTATTCCCCATTTTAACCACAGTCTGGCTCATTTATCATTAAAATAATCAAAAACCTCTTCATTTTTATGTTGTATAGGCAAATGAGTTATAATTTACATCCTAAAAAATGCACTAAACCAGCTTTAGTTTCACCTTGGCCTAAATATTGCAAATGGAAAAGACAGCGGCCTAAATGATGTACAGTACAGCAGAGGAAAACCAAGCAGCACTGCCTGCTATCTGAACTCTGGCGGCCATTTTGGATATTTAATCTTACCCGTGTTGTGGTCAGTAATCCATAATAATAGTTTCACTTAAGATCCAGCTCGTTTTGTCTAAAGTGCAAGTAAAGATAGAACAAACGCTCGTATTGTAATTCACACTTTTTTTGTTTATTTTCTCCTGCCTTCTAAAAATAACTTCCCACCTCAGATCATTAATATATAAGCAGCGAGGAAAAGCATCGTCTTACAAATCTCCAGAACAACAAGCTTCAGAAGGTAGCGCCATGGGGTGGCTAGCATTAGATATTCAACTCCAGAGCTTAAAATCCTTTATTCTCCTTCTATTTTCTCAGAAAACCAAACCGCTGACTTCCATCCTATGTTTTATTTCGCCCACTTTTAAAGTTACTTTTAAACCCTTAAAAATAAAACTCAAAATGAATGTAAAGTTACGCATAAAATAAACATTATTGCACAAAAAAAACCTAACACAGAGACACATATATGGTTTCATTTCTACTAACCTTTCCTGTGGCTTAGTCAGTAGAGCATTGTGCTAGCAATGCAAAGGTCATGGGTTCAAACCCCAGGGAAAGCAAGAATTAAAAGCGTCTGCCAAATGCCTAAGTGAAAATGTAAATGTATTTCTCATCCTCAAGATGCAGCCGAGGGTAATATAGCCAAAAAAATTACAATAACGAATAATTTCATTTTTTGAGATGGAAAGAGACGGCTCCAAAGCTAGAGAGGCGGCTTCAAGACAACATTGCTGGGTTTCAACATTACCATACATACAAATATGGACAATTCACTATAAAGTATTTGTATTTTTTTTTTACAATTTAGTGTGTTTAAAATAATAGTGTGCATGAAAGAGTCATCAAAGGTTCCTGGGAGGGTTGTATTCCAGTTATGGACCCACAACTGGCTGATTTTACCCCAGAATCTTCTGGGGGCTAAATGTGCAATCTGTAATTAAGAAAAAAAGTCTTTTGAAATTTAAATATCTGAAAATGTAGGACCAATCCTAATGTATCTATTACCAATCCTAATTTAAGAGACAGATTGTTACAATGGCTGAAAAATTCAAGCAAATGAAATAATGGAAACCACAATGTGAAGTGTCGTGGCCTCTAGGGGGCGCTATGAATACTTTTCTGTGGATAATATTCTTGTCACAGATCGATAAAATAAGCACCTTTTCAATGTCTAATGTTATATTTCCTGTGGCCACCGTGTGGAGCTGTAACTGGGAGTGTATATTTCATAGATGTGTTCTGACAATAACATTGTTAGTAAATTTGGGACAGATCAGACATAGTACGGCTGAGTTATTAACAACTTCCTGTTTATTTTTATAATTTTACATTCTATGTTCCTTTTTAGCATAATAACAGACTTCGGGTCAATTTTGGAAACGCAATCCATGTTACTTATATTTAAGTCTTGGTATCCTACACCTGTGTGCTGAATTTCGTTCGCCTACAACAAACTGTTATTAGGTGGCGCTACCTTTCGAACAGCATTCAGAAAAAAAGTTCACTTTTTCTGACGTGTGCAAAGTTTTTAAGCACGTTTAGACCCTCAAAATGCACAAAAAACACAAAAGAATAACAAACTGAACAATTACAATATGGTTCTACACGCCATTGGAGCTGGAGCCTTAATTCTACAAATTTATACACTACTGTAAAATCTAGTGAAAGAAAAATCTCAAACAAATCAGCATTTGGGCTTCAAAACAGCTGGAATTCTTCTAGTTTCAAATCTTGGAGAACTAACCACTATTCTTCTGTGGATGTTGCTTTCACTTTGAAACAGTTGACAGTTCTCAATAGCTTTGGGTGTATTTTTGTGGTTCTTCCTGTTTTGGGGTCAATCCTATGTCTTCCTGATGCTATAGGTATCTCCCTGTATTTCCCAGCATTGAGAACACTCTGATAGAAATCCCAGAATTACGACAGACATTCAGATACAGAAAACCAGTTGCCATTTAAGCAACTCCCCCTCCCTCCTCTGTAAAACTCATGCTCACTTCGTCGCCCCCACCGACCTGATTCTTGAGTCAGCATTTGTAAGGATATTCCCCCTTGTAAAAGCGGACCTCTGTTCACACCCCCAGACCTGTGCCGTATAAATACCCTGAAGAAACTGACTATAAATTTGTGACAAAGCATGAACTCCGTGTCGTGTCTCTTTCCTTGTCACCCTGAGATCTCAGAACTTTGTCTCTCGAGAGGAGAGCACAGAATCTATCCATTACAAGCACCATCAATCCTGACAAAATCTCCTACTCTATTTATTTAAATGCAGCCTCAAATAAGGAAAGAACGTCCACCATGCTTCACTGTTTCATCATTGTACCACACTTCAGCCCATCCAATCAAACTGCCAAAAATGACAAGTTTTGACCCTGTTACGACCCCGGTTAGGTTAAAAGGCAAGGGGTTGGTGGACAGTTAAAATAATGATTGTTATTTTTTACCGGATCAAGGGATAATCGTTGGAGAACAAGAAAGGATATTTATTTAGAATACTGTAACTGAACATAGAAACGTAACCACCACCAAAAACTATATTATTTTAAAAAAAGAAGCCAGTAGCTGTGTTTCCATCCACCTATTTTTTTGCTTTTTTTGGAATATCACACAATAAATGCTCACACATCCCCAAAACATCAGTGACCCACCTCGTGTTTCACAGTCGGAAAATGTAGCATTTATGGTTGTGGCCTAAAAGTTCCAAATAACTTTGGACAAATTTGCTAGGGTTTTGTAAACTTATGAGCACAACTGTAAATCCAGATTCGCAAAGTAAACAAATAGAAGGAGCTCGATCTTTCTTTTTCCAACCTGCTTATTTCCTTTTTGGGGTCTGTGATGGAGCTAAGCTTAGCCCATCACTATTATATTTATTTATTTATTTTAAAAGTAAATGCAAGAGTCAAACGTCAATGATGAGAAGCCAGAGACGGTTTTCAAATAGTTTATTGCGAACAGGTGTGTTTCATGCTCCTTTGATTGGGCTGACCCATTTGCCATTTCAGCAGGGGACATCAAGATGGTGGGACCTGGAAATTGGCACAAAAGGAGTTTAATTGAATGGTTTAATTTGTACTTGAGTTTAGAGTTTCATTGAATATTTTGTAATGATTTGTATGCAGTTAATTTCAGCATTTATATGATTTGTTTGAGTTGTTTGTTTGATTTATATTTACCTGCTGTTGGATTGTTCCAACCTGAGCTCTCCTTTAAAAGAGAGCTCATTCAAACATTCAGGAGGCAGCCAGGCAAGCGGGAGGACATCGGAGAGCTTCTGTAGAACTTTGGAGTGAACACCATGCAGATAATGCTGCCTTGAAGGACACCAGCTCTGTTAAGAGCTAGGACTGAGTTTCCTGCGGAGCTCATCTACTGCTGCTACTAGTGAGATTTAGCTGACCCCAGTTTAGCAGTAAGGATTTTTTTGCCCAAGTGCATTAGGTTTTTGTTTGTAGCTACAGTGTTTATTTTGTATATATTTTTATTTGTTTGGTTTGTTTTACATCCCTTGGTGGCACAATAAACACAGTGTTTTGCAATCTACTCTCCTCATCCTTGACCTCAATACAGTCCTACGACCCTTGGTTCCCACATTACGACAGGGTCACAGGGATCTGTCGGTGTCTATCTCCAGCGCACATTGGGCGAAAGGCAGGGGTACACCCTGGACATCTCGCCAGTCCATCGCAGGACTGGAAGGAGCTCATCTCTTTTAATTTGTACTTGACGCATATTTTTCTGCAAAACTATCCCTGAACGAATAAAAGTCTGCGGTTTTGTAGTTGACAAATGGTAGTGGACCTGTCACTGTCCACTTAAGCAGATTAAAACGAAATCGATCTCTAAGTACCTCTTAGTATCACATAACAAGCCGGAGTCTCCTGAAGAAGCGACTGTTTGTTGAAGGGATGGAGAGAGCGGTGAGGGAGGGGGGGTTCCAGACTACAAAAGCAGTTGAAATGGCAGACAAATAGATCCCTGACTGAAGGCGTAATATGGGAGGAAGGGAGACAGTGAAAGGAAGACATTATCAATCTTCCGTGCTTCAGTGATCAGGCGCCCAATCAAAGATTACGTATTTTTTTTCCTTCTTTTGTAGAGAGAATAGTGATTATTGCAGATGCGCCCTAGGAAAAGCTGTAGCACTTGTTAATACACAAAAAGGTTCCGTCATGACATGTTCGCAAGTGATGGTGTGTGCTGGACACATAAGGACAGATGGATACGATGAAAGATGAGGTCGACAGCTTAAAGCAGAGGTATTACTGAGAGGGAACAAGAAAACCGAAAATCAATGAAAGCTCAGAGGTGGATGGAAGTAAGATGAGTAAAAAATGAAATGAGAGGGAAGCATGCAGGGGGTGAGGAGAAACCACACAGGATGTTTACATGATTCAACAGAGCGAACAAGAGAGGAAACAAGAGAATCTGAGGAGCCAGTCTTACGTTTCACAAGAGAAGAAAGAAGAGAGGAAGGAAAAATGAGGTTAAAAGGTTTAGGACAGAACATTTTAGGGAAGAAAACTGATGTGACCCTTCAATGAAAGTCCAACGCACCCAATTAGACTGGAAGAGGAGCATTAAGCAGGGAGTTTGGGATGTAAATGGTTGCGAGTAATGGAAAAGAGTCACAAATTAGAGGCTCACTTGACAGGAAACGTTAACTTTAGATTTCAGTTTCAGACAAAAAAAATCTCACCAAACTTAAGGGGCACGTTTTTGAAGTATATTTGACCCCTTTATACTAACACTTTCTAAATGCAATTTAATTATAAATTGAATCTCCTCACATTTCGCATCATTTACCCCGTTTCCTCCCACAGCCATGCTTTTGTAGTGTGTAATGGCCGCCTGTCGCAAGTCAAATTGGACGGCATGAAGTTGTTTAAATTACAGCTTTCTGTGTGTCACCCGGGCCGTAAAGGAACATAAATAAAGTCCAAAGTGCATCAAAGAGTTCTGTATAATTCTCATCACTTCGCTTCACGCAGTTCAGTGCTGGTGTATGCTAATGAGCTCTTGTGCTGTTTGCGTGAGATAAAGTTAATGAACAATGTTTGGATCTATTTCATGCAAGTATTGAAGAGGTTTGAAATCAGGATTCTGTTTATTCTCTCTAATGGTGTTTCATTGACATTATTAACCAATTCCAGGTGTTTTGTTCAATGCTGGGTCGATTAGCATAATCGTGAATCATGCTGCGTTACCATTTATCAGGCAGAAATGCTCTCTTATCTAAGTTGGTGATTGGGACGATGTCTTTCACCATGGGCATCATCAATGCCCAAATTGCTTAACCTACATTAGATTACATGTTCACTTTCTCTGCTGTTCTCATTTCCGGGTCAGGCAGTGCACCCGATCTGCATGAAGATGAGGTGTACTAGCGATTAATCTGATGGGTCAGTGGGCAGAGCTAGAACTATGGCCTTTCCAAGGAACATCGAGCCGTTTTAAGCACACGAATAGGAACACAGGATTACACAAACATGCACGAAAGATTCTAAATAAGACTTGAAGCATGTTTTTGATGAAGGAACGATACTAAAAGATGCTC